CCCGATTGAGAAGCAGAGGATATTATTGAAGAGGATCGTGCAGAACCTGTGCAAGCACGGCTTTTAATGGTAGGCCTATGTTTTTTGTTTGTTGTTGTCTCATACTTTTAGATACGCTGTTATTTGTAAATGCTACTGCTTATGTTAGCTTTTAATATACAGTTTTATCCTGATTAAAGCTTTAATACAGTACGGCAACTGCACGCGCAGCCATGTTTAACGTTTCTCATAGCTATGTGAAAATGTGTATAATTGTAACAGTTCATTGTTGGAGCTGAGCTGAATGAGAGAGAGATGCAGAGCGTGTGTAGAGCAGGGGAATGCGAGGAACAGTATTAAGAACTGCTGTTTTAGAACATTGATTTTGAAACTTGTGAATCCATTAGAATCGTTAGAAGACAGAATCGCGATTCATATACGAAGTATACGCGATTCACATAGTTTTCTCTTCCTCTTCTCTAAAGCAGCGCAGCATGGCCTCGCCCCCTTTGCTGCCTTTTCCCAAGGGCGGGGTTTATCTGGGTTTGTGATGTCATGACCCCGGGAAGTACCTTGTTGTAGTCCCTACCAGCCGTTTTTGTAGGCATTAAACTACCAGAATTTTAAAAGACGATATCTCCGTTTGCATTGAACTTTTAGCTTTGTAACTTTGCAGATATTGTTTATGTTCAAACAGCAACATTAGACACCAACTAATGTTAAAAAAGTGAAATTGCAATGAACCACCCCTTTAATATATTTACAGTAGGAAATTTACAAAATATCTTTATGGAACATGGTCTTTACTTAATATCCTAATGATTTTTGGCATAAAGAAAGAAAAAGAAAAATCAATAATTTTGACCCATACAATGTATTTTTGGCTATTGCTACAAATATACCCCAGCGACTTAAGACTGGTTTTGTGGTCCAGGGTCACATATGTAATAATTACATGTATAGACAAGCCGAAGACTGAAACTGCTGGGGGGAAAAATACCTTGTTGTGTAAGAGTCCTCCTAGAAAGGATGTTGTAAATCATATTTGATCACTCCCTTTCTGCACACAATCTTCTTTACTTGCACATTAGCTTACATATACCCTTATGTACACTGCCGTTCAAAAGTTTGTGGTTGGTAAGATCTTTTGGTAACACTTTACAATAAGGTTCCATTAGTTAATGTATTAACTAAAATTAACAATACATTTAGCAAATAATTTATTAATCTTTGTTAATGTTAGTTAATAAAAATAGAGTTGTTCCTTCTTAGTTCATGTTAATTCATAGTGCATTAACTAATGTTAACAAGCACAACTTTTGATTTTAATAATGCATTAGTAAATGTTGGAATTAACATTAAGATTAATAAATGCTGTAGAAGGTTTGTTCATGCTTACTTCATGTTAACTAATATAGTTAGATAATGTTTTGTAAACCTTACTGTAAAGCGTTACCCATCTTTTAATGTCTTTAATTTTAATTTTTGAAAGAAGTCTTTTATGCTCACCAAGGCTGCATTTATTTGATCAACAATTACATTTTCATCCATGCATTTAGAAGACACTTTTATCCAAAGAGACTTACAAAATAGCAGAAACAAAACAATTCAAAGACAAAGCAATTTGTCAGTCAAAATACAATAAAATTTTTACTATTGTGACATATTATTACAATTTAAATAACGGTTTTCTATTGTAATATATTTTAAAATACAATTTATTCTTGTGATGATAAAGCTGAATTTTCATGAACAGTTAATCCAGTCTTTAGTGTCACATGATCCTTCAGAAATCATTCTGATATGCTGATTTGGTGCTCAAGAATATTATCATCAATGTTGAAAACGGTCTTAAGAACAGCATTTATTAAAAAAAAATTTAAGATGCGCTATATTAAAAGTCTTCTAAAGACATACGATAGCGTATTAAACAAATACTTAAAGTTGTGTTCTACATAAAATATATTGGTAACACTTTTCAATTTTAATGTGTAATCCTTGTCACACTTTGCATGTATTTACTATAGTGATAAAATAAATTATGTAGTAAATTATAACACTAAACCAAACCCTAAACTTCTAGTAAATACATGTTGTTAATTAATTTCACATAGTACTTACTTGTGGAATTACACTGTTAGAAGGAATCATTAAAATAAAGTGTGACCAAACTAAAAATATAAGTATTGTTGCAGCTTAAACACCAGAGAACAGAGATAGCAAGGTCATAAGTTTGATTTCCAAGGAATGCATGAACTGATAAAATGCACATCCTTAATGCAATTATACTGGAAAGAAGCATCTGCCAAGTGCATGAATGTACCAACATTGGGGTATGTAAATAATGGCAGAATTTTTATTTTGTGTGAACAAAATCCTTTTAAGGCTCTATAAAGTCAAGGGTACGCACTGGGCAATTACTAACTGCAGACATTGACAACCCATTTATTTAATTCTCATCAAACAGTCCTTCACATGTCAAATCCCTATGCAGTGCCTGCACTCTTAAAAATAAAGGTGCTTCAAAAGGTTCTTCAAGCGATGCCATAGAAGAACCATTTTTAGTTCCACAAAGAACCATTCAGTCAAAGGTTCTTTAAAGAACCATCTCTTTTCTTACCTTTTTATAATCTGAAGAATTTTCTTTTGCCACAAAGAACCTTTTGTGAAACAAAGTTTCTTCAGATGTTAAAGGATCTTTATGGAATCATTTAGACAAAAAGGTTCTTCTATGGCATCGTGAAGCACCTTTATTTTTAAGAGTGTGACTGGCTGACAGATATAATGAAATGGGATCACTAATGAAATTGTTCTGTTTACGCCTTCCGAGAAAAATCACATCACGCACGCACACACATGACCGAGACAGTGTTGTCTACATGTGTGGATATCCTTACAAGGCTTTAAAACTCTCTCTGCAACACTTGCACACGCACATTCACTCATTTCAACATATACTGATGCTGGATTTGCTGGATGGGGGAGCTGGCCACGTGATGCACTTCATGATTAAATGTGCTTTTGTCCTTCATGCCTTTAAGCCCTAATGACAGCTTCCTTTCTCAGAATCTAATGCTGGGGGATCTGGCCTGCCACTGGAACATCACCAAGGTGCTACATTATCGACTGTCATCACTCAGCACTTTGCACAGTCAATTTTAGTGGCCGTCCTCACGAGTTGCTGCCCCCATCAGTAGAAAGTGCTGTGTATAGCAGCTTTGAGGTGAGATTTAAAAGCCGTAAGTGCGCATGGGACCTCAGAACTGAGTCAAAGTGCCGTTCAAGGCAAATCGGTTCATTCTCTGACCATATTGATAACGCCTGCATGCTTTTTTTTTTTCTAAGTAAATGACTTTTTCTAAAAAAAAAAAAAGAATACAGTATGTTTCAAGTTAAGCTTACTTACAGCTGGTGACATCGGGAGGAACGTAAATATCATTCATAAAGACACTAGTGGGCTTCGCCACTTTTAAATAGACGACATCAGGGGTGTTTTTCAAGGCAGCCACGGCATCTTCATGAGTGACCTCTTCAAGGCAAACAGCATTCACCTATAACCAAGCACATGATTAGATGAAACCTTCAGATGAAACTCACAAAATGAAAGTTTGAGGTCTGTAAGATGTTTTAATGTTTTTGAAACTAGTCTTTTATACTCAGCAAGACTGTATTTATTTCATTAAAAATACCGTAAAATCAGTAATACTGTGAAATATTATAATTTAAAATAACCGTTTTAATATAATGTCAAATGTATTTATTCTTTATTTATTCTTGTAATGGGCAAAGCAGAATTTTTGGCAGCCATTACTCCAGATTTCAGTGTCACATGATTCTTCAGAAATCATTCTAATTTGCTAATTTGGTTATAACAGCACTGCTGAAAACAGTTGTGCTGCTTACAATTTTTGTGGAAACCATTTTACAGTTTTTTTAAAGGATTTTTGATGAATAGAATGGTTACTAAAACAGGCACTTTTGATCAATTTAATTCATCCTTGCTGAATAAATGTATCAATCTATTTAAAAAAAAAATTCTGAAAAGTTATAATATAAAACATGAAGGTATTAATATTTAATATAGCCAGGGTACAATAAACTTCAAATGACAGAAAAGGACTAATCAATGGTCCATTTCATGATTCAGTAACAGTGATTAGCATGAACTTCATTTTTGGGTGACGTCTTTCTTTAAAAATGAATAATGACTGAAAAATGAGTGTTTACTATTGTCATTTTGCATTATTGACACTATTTTCCTAATTAATGCTGTTCAGTTGCTTTGTCACAATCTGTATTGTTAAAAGCGCTATATAAATAAAGGTGACTTGACTTGACTTGACTTAATGTATAATTGCATTCTGCCAGATACAAATGTTTCTCTACAGGTTGAAAGCGACAGCTTATTTGCTAAAATGGTTTATTGTAGAGGATATATTTATCATTAAAAGTCAGCAGCAGGGGCTCTAAATGAATAGGTTGTACATCTCGTTAAACAAAGTGCTCTTAAAAAATTGGATTTCCTCCTTGCATCAATGTAAAATGATGTCTCTAATGTTATTTAGTAAATATAGGTAATAGAAAAGTTAACTTTTAACTTACAGCCAGAAGTTTATCTCCAATCTGTAGCCGTCCATCTTTGTGGGCCGCTCCTCCCTCAATGATTTTGGTGATATAAATACTGTTGTCCCCAGGAACATGTTGGTTTCCAACTCCTCCGGCTATACTGAAACCTAAACCTGTCAACAGAGGTCAGACTAAACCATTTGCTAAATCATTTCCTAACATGACTTACTGTATAGTGATTAAACATCAAGGCATAGCATGCTTTTATTTTGTAATCTTTAGATGAGAGATGGCTTTACCTTTAGGACCTTTCACCAGCTTTATAGCCATTATTTTTTCCGTGACAGCTTTTCTTCTTCTGACGTACAGTCTAACAATGCAGCCTGCCTCTTTTAGTGCCTCCACAGCGTTGCTGTGAGTTACGTCTCTCACATCTACATCATTTACCCGCAGTATACAGTCATTAACTCTGTAGAGAGGGAAAGAGGGAGAACAATGACTAAACAGTCCAAAAAAAGACAAAAATCACAATGATAAAGTGCTCTTCGAAGTACAACCAATCAAAACACTAAATTAGTCTATAAACAAATGATCTATCATTGTAATCCTGTTTTACACCTCAGACACAAGCTGCATGTAAGGGAAGCAGCATCGCAACTGCAACACAAGAGTTGAACTGTGTTGTCACACTGCATAATAGAGCTGCAGGCCTATACAGAAAAGTATGTTATTTCTGGTTACTACACTGAGTATTTTCTATTATAACAGTAATAGCATATGCAGTTATTATCAGGCGTGGGCCAATGACAACTATTTCACACTTTTCCAGTAAATAATGAGAGGAAGAGAAGGTTCAGATTTAAATTTACATGAGGAGGGGAATCATATTTACTGTCCACATTAATTTACACTAATTCCAAACCTCAGTTAGGGAAGATTTTGAACTGCTTAATCATCAGGGTTAAGTCATAAGTTTTATTTATTCATTAAAAAAACGGCACCATACTGCTACAATAAACATTCAACTTGAACAGTAGTGTTTGGATTGTGTTGGATTAATTTAAGAAATTAATACTTTTTATTCAGCACTTATATGGGAATTGTTTTAAAGTGACAGTAATGTTACAAAATAGTAATGTTAATAATATTTCACAACATTACTGTTTTATTGTATATTTGAACAAATAAATGCAGCCTTGGTGAGCATAAGACCCCAAACAGTATATAATTTTTGTCCAAACACTGTATGAGATGTGCACTATTATTTTGTTTCTTTATAAATGCCTGTATTGGCATTTACAGGCAAAACCATTTCGAATTTCCATACTAGAGCAGAAAAATAAGTGCAGAAGTTTTCTTCTTTCAGTGCAAAAAGTGAGTGTGAGCGTCTGAAAATTCTTGAGCATGAACACCAGGCATTGCCCGAGGGAACGCGGTCCTGTATGCTAGCATCCTGTGTGCTTAGCAGATTGCAGAAGATTCTGTTGATAAATTTACAGTGCATTTTCAACATGTTTTCTGCTGACTTCAGCGCTCTACATGTGGCAAAAATAGGTTCAGCAGTCAAAACTACCAACAACTACACTTCTGCCACTTCAGCGACACAATTCTGTGCTGCTTATGATGTTAACTTGTAACTTGTTAATATGGGCTCAGAAATAAATATGCACCACTTATGTGCTGTGTGATGTGAAACGGGCCTAATACACATTTTCTGACCCGAGTCTGCCATCCTGTGCGGCAGCTCCTCCTGGGATGATCTTGGTGATAAAGATGCTTGGGTCTTCACCGATGTGGGGGTTATCTGTACCGCCTGCAATACTGAAACCCAGGCCCGAGTTCCCCTGAAGGGAAAAAAAACATGTCAGAACAAAAAAAGAGAATGCCAACCAAAGAAAAAAGCCAGACTTTTTTGTGTCATTGTCTGAGCACTCTTACCCGTTCAAGTGTAATTTCTTCATATTCATAATCAGCTTCTGTTCCATTCACCTGAAAGTTTAACAAACTAATTTTGTAAATATACAATGTCAAAATACACAGACATACATGAATGCCCTCCTCTATTAGTGTCACCCAAAAACGTTTAGTTATGCAAGTTTCTATAATTCAGGAGTGTTATTAATTACCTGATTTTACTCTCTATATTCATTTGTTTTCCTTTCTTGTTTTTCTAAAACACCAGTGTCATGAACAATTAGAAATTAGATCGCAACCTCTACTATGAAAAGTCATTAAAAAGTCTGTGACAAACCTTTTACAGAAATTGTTTTAAATGTATTTTTAATTATTGATTATATCATAATTTGGCAACAAAATAAAAAAAAAAAAATGTCGTCAAAAGCAACTGTTCAGAACTGAATCAAAGAGAGAAATTTCCTGCTAGATTCACACTGCTAGTAATATATTATTAAAATGTACAAATGTAATAACATACAATAGACAGACATTATCACTGAAAAAAAAAATTATTAGATCAAAATAAAAATCAAAATTATTTCAACTTGTTACAAGTAATCGGTTCACTTTTCCCCCAACTGAAAAAAATGAAGTTTGACCAAATCAAATTTAGATAGTCAACTGAAACTAAATATTCACTTTCAACCAAATATATTTTTACATAATTATACCACAAATGATCACTAAATCTATTTGGATTAACTTAAACTTTACATATTTTTAAATCAAATATCCAGATAAATGCAAATCTAAATTGTACATATTAAGCACACTGAAAAAAGTGATCCCATTAAGTAGGCTCAAAATTATTTTATGTGGTTCTCCGACAGGATTAATTAAATTTTATTAAAAAATTGTCATGTAACTGAATTATAGAACTGTGTACTAAGTAGCTAACAAGTTACCTAGAAATAGCACATATAGCATGTTAAATAGTACATACATAGTATGCTAAATGTAAATGCTAAGTGTTAAATGCTCTTTGAGCAAAACAGTAATAGCATGTACTGTACAAGTCCACAGCCTAAGCAAATGCTCCACTCTCCTCCACAATGGTAACCCAGTGTAATTTAAACGGTTCTAATTATTCCAACATAATTGAACATTAAACACTATAAGTCTCTCGATTTTCTCATCTTGCTGAAAATTGTTTTTTTTTCATTAAGTCCCAATCAAAGCATGGGACTTGTGGTCATGTGGTTTTCACAGAACACAAAATTGTCATTTGATTTGACGCAAATTGTTTAAATTACACCAACAAAACTTAGTTTTACTTCCAATTAAAGGGTTAGTTCACCCAAAAATGAAAATTCTGTAATTATTTACTTGCCCTCATGTCGTTTCAAACCCGTAAGACCTTCGTTCATCTTTTGAAATTAAGATATTTTTGATGGAATCTGAGAGCTGTCTGACCCTGCATAAACAGCAACGCAACTGAAATGTTCCCAAGTCCAGAGACGTAGCAAGGAGATCTGTAAAATAATCCATGTGACATCAGGGGTTCAACCATAATTTTACGAAGCTACAAGAATACTTTTTGTGCGCAAAAGAAAAAAAAATTACGATTTTATTCAACAATTCGTCTCCTCCACATCACCATGTAGCACCATTTTGGAGAGTATCCACTGGACGTAATCAACATATGCTGTTCTGTGTCAGCTGCATCACACGGATACACTGTTTTCGTTCAGATCAAATCACAACAACGTAGGAAACAGATCTGGCGTGACGCAGCTGACACAGAACAGCATACGCTGTTTACGTCCAGCGGATACTCTCCAAAATGGCACTACAGGGTGATGTGGAGGAGACGAATTGTTGAATAAAGTCTTTTTTTTTTCTTTTGCGCACAAAAAGTATTCTCGTAGCTTCGTAAAATTACGGTTGAACTACTGATGTCACATGGATTATTTTACCGATCTCCTTGCTACGTCTCTGGACTTGGGAACATTTCAGTTGTATTGCCGTCTATGCAGGGTCAGACAGCTCTCAGATTCCATCAAAAATATCTTAATTTGTGTTCCGAAGATGAACAAAGGTCTTACAGGTTTGAAACGACATGAGGGTGAGTAATTAATGACAGAATTTCATTTTTGGGTGAACTATCCCTTTAACTAAATATTTCACTTTAGCTCAATGACAAGACAGAAAAGTACATTTATTAAGTTAGATCAAGTATAAAATGTTCTTTAGAGTAACAACGAGGCATATGCACTTTTTCAGTGCATAAAACCACATTATACCAGAGCAAATAACAATCAACAGCAATAAAAGATATACAGATCAGAAAGAACAGTACCTGTTTTTTTAAGGGTATAGCAGGAGCATTCATTTAATAAATGTGTCTCACTGTTATGTTTTCAACAACCAAGAAGTTATACTCTCTGTTCTATAGCTAGTACTCAAAGTTCAATTTAATACATTTATCTAAATCCACTCAGCAGAATTCCTCAGATTTTCTGCAAAAAACAGTGTAGATTTCATCTTCAGATTCCATCTGGGCAAAAATAATCTTCTATAATAAAAAGTTGTGCTATAATTATCTAAGAATGAACTGTTTGGAAAAGTCTCTGTGTTTTCTCTTTCCACTCCTTACATTTCCCCTCTACTGATTCTACCGTTCTTGGTGCTACAAAACTCAGGCAGCATTACATCTATTTCCAGTTACTGTGTTTTTCAGCCAAAGAGGCCACAGCAACCAAAACTGAAGAACACAGGCGCTAGCTGTCGACTAAACATGCAATGCAGTCCACTCGCTTTCAACATTCTGGGTTCAACACAAGTTAAGCTGTACCCAACAGCATTTGCTGCATAATGTTGATTACCACAGTAAATAATTCAGACTTGTCCCTCAATAAATGTCACTTTCAAAGAAAGTACACCAGGCAATAAATTCTAAAACAGTGTGTTTTAGAGTTTATTGCCTGGTGTACTTTCTTTGTAAGTGACATTTATTGAGGGACAAGTCTGAATTATTTACTGTAAAAAAGTAACCGTAACTTAAACATTATGCATGTTGGCATGAAACTAAAGTGATAGAATTGCTTATTGGCCTCGTGTGCGTAAAACTATATCCAATCTTTCAACTTCAAAGTCATGACCACATAACACCTAGTAAACCTTGGTAACTTTCACATGATACAGGCAAGGATACCAGAAAGGAGTGTTTACATGGAGTAAACAACACTCGGGACGAGTTCAAATTGAGTTTTCATTTAAATGAGGCTTGATAGATGTTCTATAATTAAAGTTTTATATGAAACTGTTAGAAACCAAAACTCATCATCAACGTATCAGCTTTTAGATGTTTGTGTGGTTCTGAAGGCTCTGCTTTAAGCTTATAAATTATATTTAAAGGACCTTCTCTTTCTGTAGCTGCTGCTGAAAACATCTGTCTTTGACATTAATGGTGTTGAGGTGGGGTTTAAAGGGGGTGAGAGATGTACCAATACGGCATAATTCTCTAATCATGCCACCAGCTCTCAGTGTCATACTACAACAACATTCATGCTATTACTTTAATGCTTTTGTATCATTTATCAAAGAACATAAAAAATCCAAAAAGGCCTTTTCATTCTGGCATAACTACATATATTCACCAGAATCGTCACAATGCTGAAATTAATTCTATTGACAATAACCTTTTCTCTTGTTTTATGGGAGGCATTTACAGGCTTTCAGCACTGCTGTATGCTGTTACTCACATACTGGGTGTAGGGCCACAAACAACCAGCCACAGGGATCAGAGCCAAAACAGGCATTTACACGATCAATATCAGACTACTACTACAGTCTATGTATGCAAGATAATGAACGATCAAAACAGGAATAGACGTGCATGCACAAGGATTGTTCAACATCAACATTGCCATTTATACTGTACATTTCTTAAATGGAAATATCTCAAAAGCATTTGTTTATAAAAAGAAAAAAATACCATTTGGATTTTGCAAACTCAAGCCAGATCACTATAAATCCACCTCAATGTCAAAAATACAATGTGGGTAATGCAATGTAGAAATATCCTTTAATTGTCAACAAATCATACTTTAAACAGAACAAATAGACCAAAATTGTAACAATGGCCCTTCAAATTCCTCTTCTCACCTTCTTTTCACCTCAGTTATGGTAATTTCTACAGCCAGCTGGTGAGTGCCAGCCCTATGCATGTAATATTATAGGGTGAAACTCCTCAATATCTTTGGGTCTTAATCACTAACATGCAAAACTTTTATTGCATTGATTATGATTATACAAATTATAATTTAAGGGCAGGTTTACTTTTTCTCTAATGAAACTCACCCTACACATCAAAATTACAAACCAGTGATCTTAGAAACATGCCATGTTAAGTCACACTTAAAAACACTGAGAATAATTCCCAGCTCTAATTTGCTCGTTTTCTGACCCACGATCAAATTAAATCCCACCCTCAGTGCCATTAAGCATGCAGGACATCTTGTTATTGTGCATTTTTGAATGTCATACTGAAGAGAGAGCCGCTAAAATCATCTCCACAATAGTACACATTCAAAAGTTTGGGGTCAGTAAGATTTTGTTTTTAATTCATAAGAAATTAATACTTTTATTCAGCAAGAATCCATTAAATTGGTTGAAAGTGACCATAAACTATATTGTTTCAAATATAACATTGTTACAAAAAATTTCCATTTCAAATAAATGCATATTATAATTATTTCTGAAGGATCACATGACAATAAAAGCTGAAATAATGGCTGTTAAATTCAGCTTTGCCTTCGCAGAAATAAATTACAATTTAAAATATATTAAAGGGGTCATATGATGTTGCTAAAAAGAACATTATTTGGTGTATTTGGTGTAATGAAATGTGTTTATGCAGTTTAAGGTTCAAAAAACACATTATTTTCCACATACTGTACATTATTGTTTCTCCTCTATGCCCCGCCTTTCTGAAATGTGCCGATTTTTACAAAGCTCATCGGTCTGAAAAGCGAGGTGTGCTGTGATTGGCCAGCTATCCAGTGCGTTGTGATTGGCCGTATACCTCAAGCGTGTGACGGAAATGTTACGCCCTTTACCATACTGTGATGCCTTGTCCCGGCCGGAGCGACGAGACAAAACCAATAAAACCCATTATAAATGAGGCATTCGTTGCATCCAGTGGGGACATAATTACGGATTATAATGACTTATACTGTCTTTTTACGCTTTGCATCGCGCCGCGTAAACATAAAACCATGTCTGCATTTGTGATCGGAGAAATGACAAACAACAAGAAATGACAAAAAACTCGCGTTTGAATCGTCAGTGGCAAATTCTTTATATATTAAAAAAACGTACTGCGAGTCAGAACAGCGGCATTTTAGTCTACTCTACCAGGATCAGGAGACAGTCCTCCATAAAATGTGCTGCACACATCTGAATATTTGGATTGAACTGTTCTGGAACAGTGTTGTAAATACAACTTAACCACTGATTTCTAGTAGTGTCCTCTTTTGGAAGGCCAAACAAAGTAGTTTCGCTTTCACAACGAAACACAGCCTTGAGTGAGCAGAGGCAGGCTAGAGTGAGGAACGGCCGGCGGATTCGACGAAGGAGCGTCCAGCGGGCTTGCGGCAACCACATGTGACGACCCTGGGCTGGACGCCGCTTCGTCCACGGTGAAAGCCGATCCGGCGATCCACAGCACGAAGTTGATGTATTTCCTCAGCGACCAGCACGGATCAGCTCCAGGCATGACGAAGCAGATATCGTCCTCTTTTGGAAGACCAAACAAAGTAGTTTCGCTTTCACAACGAAACACACAGCGCCTTCACGACATGGCGGCAGCAACAATACTACAGCGAGAATAAAAGTTACGCCTTCTTTCTTTGCGTGAACATTTGGGTGGCATTATGCAAATCTTCCCACATCGTGACAGACATGTGGGGGCGTGTTAGAACGAGCCGTTTTAGGTAGGCGTGGTTGACTCTGAACTTTTATAAAGAATATCTCTTTGGATTTGAGACTTTAGTCTTTGCAACTTTACAGATCTTCTTTATGCACCAAGAGCTTGTAACACTCCAAAGAGAAAGGAAAAATTGAAATCACATCATATGACCCCTTTATAATATATATATATTTTTCTTAAAATTCAAATTGTTATTTTTTTTTTATGTAGTAATATTTCAGCTTTTACTGTATTTTTGATCAAATAAATTCAGCCTTGGTAAGCATATGAGACAACTTTCAAAAAATTCAAACTTTTGAATGGTTGAATATTACAAAAAACAACTCCACTAACTAGTTAAGGTAAATTATTTTTATTTTATCTTTAAGTATATATTATATATAACTGAAAAAGATTCAACAGTAATCTACCTCTTAGCAAAATGCAGTACATGAAGAAATACATCACTTACATATGGACTTACATAGGGCGAGGTGTCAAGGCTTTCTGTGTTCACCACCACTGGTGCTGGGCTTGCCTGCAAAATAAACATTCAGTTAATACTTGAGCTGAAACGAATCAAGACCCATAATCGTGCACCTTGCTTCTTGTCCCTAACCTACTGAGAATGAAATGGCAAAATAAACCGTTAACTATTTAAAAAAATAAGAAAAAGATCCAATAATAAAGCATCACTTACTCTTGGCATGCTGATACAGTATTACTTTGGCATTTGCAAGAGATTAACAGCACAGCTTGTGTCCATACACAGCATAACATACTGCAGAATATGCAATATAGTGGCATAACAAACCAGCGCAGACCTAATCCTTCTGCTAACATGTATCGCACGCTTCACTTGCACAATTGCTTTTGAGGTACAAGTGCGCATCAGTGATATAACGTGGCATTCTCTCTGTAATCTCTAAATCAAGAGGACCATCGCTGAGGTGGGTGGAGTGAAAACATGAGATAAAAAAAAACCTGTGACGTGGGTGCAGGGATGGAAGTGGTCTCGGCTGGGACGGGTGAGATAGGGATCACAGGGATTATGGGAGCAGAGGGAGCAATGACATCTGCCTGCTAAACAATGACAGTGGAGGTCAAAGGTCAGAGCAGATGACACACAGCAGTAATGATTGTTCACGAAATTTCCTAATTTAATCAGATATTGAACAGAATTAAGAACAGAGAGGGAGGGAACAACAAAAGTTGAGGTAATGAAAACACAATAACATTGGTCCATAAATTAAGACTGGACTCTGTAATTCCCTTTTATTAGCAAAGGACTCTACAAACATTCAATGAAAATGATTATGTAAAGGGTGAAAAAATAAATGAAAGAAAAGTTAATAATGAAAAGACAAAAAATAGAAAAATAGTTTAATTAAAAATTATTATTCTGTCATTATTTACTCACTCTAATATTGCTCCGATCCCGCATGTTTTTTTCTCTCTCGTTGAATCACAAAAGCACAATTTTGAAGGATTGTGACTATTGATTAACCTTCTTTCATTCTCCAAAAAAACAGTGGAGGTCAAAGGTCAGAGCAGATGACACACAGCAGTAATGATTGTTCACGAAATTTCCTAATTTAATCAGATATTGAACAGAATTAAGAACAGAGAGGGAGGGAACAACAAAAGTTGAGGTAATGAAAACACAATAACATTGGTCCATAAATTAAGACTGGACTCTGTAATTCCCTTTTATTAGCAAAGGACTCTACAAACATTCAATGAAAATGATTATGTAAAGGGTGAAAAAATAAATGAAAGAAAAGTTAATAATGAAAAGACAAAAAATAGAAAAATAGTTTAATTAAAAATTATTATTCTGTCATTATTTACTCACTCTAATATTGCTCCAATCCCGCATGTTTTTTTCTCTCTCGTTGAATCACAAAAGCACAATTTTGAAGGATTGTGACTATTGATTAACCTTCTTTCATTCTCCAAAAAAACAAAAAAAAACTAAACAAAAAGCATGCCACTATGAACTGTTATTCAAAACTACTTGGAAAAACCTTCATAATTCCACTTTTATGGTCCACAAGCAAAAAATAACAGCACACGGGGTTGGAATGACATGATGGTAAGTAAATAACGATTTTTTTAAATAATTAATTTTGAGGTGAAACACTCAATAAAATAAAATGCATTGTACTATAGAGTGTTAAAATGTGTAAATTGTGACATAGAATCTCCATCAAGGTAAAAGTCAGGATGTGTGCCGTTTTGTGACTCACTTGAAGGACAAACCTTTCTTTAGACTTAAGTAAAAAATGGCCACAGTGTTTTAAGATTAAACAGAGCTAAAAATAAAACTCAAGTCCAGCAATCGACATCCTGTTGTGCAGGGCTGTGAACAATTAGCTTTTCCTTTTTGAAGATGAAATTAGCCGTCACAATGTCAATCAGAGCTTTGTAAGGTTTAGTGAGTTTGTCATCATCTTTTCTGCAGGTTGAAAATGTCTGCCAGAGACTTCGGACTACACAGCACCTGAACAAAATAGTCTACATCATAACAACTGCTGAGCAAAACTCAAGTTCCCTGTGGCTAAGTTTGGAAAATAAAAGATAAGAGACACAATAATATGCTAATAAGTTAATAATATCTCACAATTCCTTTCACAAAAGAATGACGCAAAACACAGAAACAGTCCACAACAGTGACACTTTTCTACAGTTGAGTATTAATTTGTTCCCTCGTTTTAGTTCAATTTTGGCCATGTTGTACTAATTCTTTTCCTCCTTTTAGGCCACAATTTAACTAAATTAAAGCTAATATATTAATTAAATCAAAATAAATAATAAACAACAAACAAATTCTTAATTCTAGGCCACAATATATTGTGTTTTCCCCCCTGCATGTCATGTGCAGTTCTCCAGAACAGAGGTATATTTCCCATTCATTTTCCTCAATCAAAAATTGTAAGCCTTGAACCAAACTAAACAGCTGCAAAAAGAGTTACAGAAAATGCATTACAGATACTAATTAGCCAATAGTCTGTTGGTTTTATGTTGACATAGCCGGCAATGCAGCTAGCTAATGTTAACTAGCATTACCTAGCCTCTGTTAAAGGTGGGGTAAGCGATTTTTCAAAAACGCTTTCGAAAACGGATTCGGGCCGAATAGCAAAACAAACTTGTAGCCAATAAGCAGTAAGGGGCGTGTCTACTCATGATGTGGAGGAGAGAGAGTTCAGTGCACAGGACAGACATTAGCGAGCCGAGCGACAGAAAGATAGAGATGGCGGATAAAAAACAAAAGAGGAGAAACGTCTGCGGAACAAAAGAAGGTTTAAGGCAATAAGGCGGACCCGTGTAAATATCGGATCAGCTTTCCAGCGCTGGAGAGAACTCAAGGAGCAGAAGGCCTGCGATCGGACGCCGAGGTTGCTTTGTTTCTTCTCGATAGGTGAGTAACACCATGTCTGTGCCGCAACAGCTAAAGTCTGTCTAGTACACTGGACGCGACAAAGCGACCATTGAAAATCATTTGAAATTTGTGTCAATACGTCATAAATAGAACGCAGCAGCAGTTTTCTGTTGGGGATTTGTCGTGCAGCGCCGCATCCAGTGTATACCATAGATATGTATATATATCTATGGTGTAGACAGCATCACTGATTATGAGTTCCATAGTATTTTGTCGCGCCGTGCCACTCGCGTCTGGTGTAGACACGGTGTAAGATTGGTTTTGCTTTGTTTCACGGAACTAATCGTTGCCTGGGTTGCATACGTATGTGTGAGGCGGAGCTATCAAAATAGGGGCGAGACCTTTTTGGGGTAGGGGCGTGTTTGTTTTGGTGATTTCAAATGTCAACATTGGCTACCAGAAATCGCTTACCCCACCTTTAACTTTCAAAACCTTTTGTCTCAAGAATTACATGATATTTCCATGGTCTAAACAAAATTGTGGCTAATCATTCATTCAGAAATGTATTTGTAATAGAGTGTAGCATACATGATGTGCACTGTGGTGAGGATCTGACGCAAGCAGATATCTATGAGAGTTCAGCAGATTCCAGCTCTACAGGAGCAAAAGCGAATGTTACCATGCTGTCAGTGAGGAGACATCCGCTGAATCTGGTCTTCTACACAGACCGTCTGTGTCAGCGTTCCCCAAACAAAACTGATCTGATCCACAGCCGCTTGTCCAAGCACCAACCACACAGCCAGAGGAGACGGATATTCAGTTACAACAGTCCAGTTCACTCAGTCAACAACAGACACATCACTGCAACTACTAATTAGAAAGGGTTTCTGTTTCACTAACCCTCACTCTCAGGGTTATGGCAGAGACTTGAGACTATGGAACATACTACAGAGCTACATTTGAGTGACAGCCCAGAAGACATCACCAATTCAACCACACTGTTTTGTCCTGCCTAAACTGACCAGTGTAACTTACATAATAGTCCATACACTGCATGCTATTATGGTAGTGGTACAGTAGTCATGGCCTGTGATCTCAGAGTTAAAATTAGAATCAATCATTAGCATTGATCAGATAGACTGGTTTAGAGTTCAGCCTAAAGCTCCCACCAATATCTCAATATTCCTTTTCCAAGTGTATTAAAGATATTAAACATGTTCACTACTTAGCAAATGTGTCAATAATATAACCAAAATAGATCATCTTTTGACACAGCTTCTTAAAAAGTACTACAGTTTGGACTGTAAATGAAATTATTGCGGTTTGGCAGTTAAAAACAATTAAAAGCATACACACATACACCACTGTTCAAATGTTTTGTAATTGTCAGTTATATTTTTTAAATGTTTTTTTTTTTAAAGAAATATCTTATGCTCACCGCGGCTGCATTTATTTGATATAAACAAAGCAATAACAGTAATATTGTGACATAATGTGATGATTTGGCTGATTTGGTGCTCAAGAAATATTTCCTATTATTAACAATGTTGAAATACAGTTAATATTCAGTTAATATCTTTGTGATAACTGTATATAACTATAATTATATATACATTGTGTGTGTGTGTGTGTATATATATATATATATATATATATATATATATATATATAAAATAGAAAAGTTTTAAAGCATAGCATTTATCTGAAATGGAAATCTTTTGTTACACTATGATCTTGAAAAAAAAAATCTTATTGACCCCAAAATGTTCAATGGGAGTGAATACATATTTATTTGTTTATTTATTTTTATGTCTGTCAATTAATTTTAATACAACACATGAAGCTGATTTACATTATATCGTTTTCTCGCCCATATTATATTTGCAAGGCCCAGGCAACCATAATGACAACGTCCAAATCTTGAAAAACCATATAATCATCAAAACAATATAATCGACAATTCACAAGTAGCATTAGCTGAAATTCAATTCCTCATACCTGAACTTCCTCCCACAGTGTCTTACCATCCCTCATCTCTTAATAAGACTCAGTCACACATACCTTCTTCAGTGAAAATGTGCCCCAAGAATTGGCCAGCCACAAGGCACTGGAAGAAGCTCTGACTTTAGCTGTGCTTTTGGTGGGGCTCTTTTTCACACTGTCCCTCAGGTTGGTGAACTTTCCTCTGCTCTTGGTGGAGACTGGGAGGGTGCAGGAGCTGTACTGCGGAACCCTTCTGGACTCCAGAGAAGTCTGCTGGAAGTTGGGAAGGGCGGGTTGAGAGAGGTGAGGCAGCGGCTGCTGCTGCTGCTGCTGGTGCAGGTGATGGTGGAAATGGTGATGAAATTGCGGTTGTTGCACCAACTGTCTCGGCGTTTGGGTCAGTGTACTGTGCACGTGTCCGACTCTCTGTTGCATTCTGGGATGGCTGCAGTTGGCCACCTCTGCCACCCCAGTCCGACAGTCCACATAAGTGCCACAGCAGTATTCATGGTTGTTGCAATAGGTGGTCATTGTTTTCCAAGCAGAGGTGGAGGGCAGGTGAAATGATGGAGAATGCAGCCTGAAGAGTGATGCTCTTACTTTGCTGAGCAATCGGGAAGGAGAGAGGACACACCGTGGTTGTAAATCTGGTCTTTTTCCACGGGTCCACTCTTCTGCCAACCTCTCTCACTGTCTATCTCTCTTTCTGCCTCACTCG